TGTTTCATTTGGGGCTGCCCTAAACAGTTCCAGGTAGAGGAACGGAGATGAAGTTCAGAGCAACTCCAATGGCAGTTACCAAACCAGTTGTCTACCGTGAACAAGACAGAAGCGTACGCATTCAACATTGGGAAAAAAAATCAGAATTTGCTGGGTTCTTGGTGGTCTCCGAACTTGGTTCTATTCTGACAGATGTTTTGTCACCAGGCTAGATCACACCATCAGGGCCAAAACCCAACCCTTCAACCCTAAATTCTTCACAATCACAATTTCAGGCTTTAAATGGGACTTCTTGCATGGGCTACATATTTATATTATTTATATACTGACGGCATTCAAGAATTTGGCAATAAATACATTGGAGACTGCTTTATCAAGTGTGATTCTGGTTATTAGAGAAACCTGTTAAGAGATCCCAAGCCTTTTCATGCTTAGGAAAGCCCTGACGATTGGGTTATTTCAACAGGCCCCTTGTAAGGTTTTGAGCATCTCCTCAGTTGTTGGCCTTGCTGCTTCATTAGGTCCTGAGTTAATTATTGTTTGGAATTGTGGCCTTCTTTTTATATTTGCCATGCCCTGCAAAGTTATAGGAGAGGGACGGCATTCAAGAATTCGGCAATGAATACATCCATTTGATACTCCTTAGCAGCACTGCTTGTTTAAATTCAGTGTTTTTTTAGACATTGCAGTTGGATCCAGATGTTTCAGGTATGTGTCTGTGCTGATTTAGAAGAAAGGAAAGGAAGGAGAGTCAAAGATGGAAGGGACCCAATGGTGGCATTCATGCAAGATGCTTATCTTGGCCACTGAATTAACCCACTTCTTGGGTTCACTCAGTCTTCTCCACTAACCAAATGTGTTTGATTTCCAATAAGGCACCAAATACCTAACCAGGATTAAATCTAACCAAGTTTAGCACATGGGAGTGCAGCCAGTAGATCTTTAGCCTGGTTAAGCATCTGCAAACCCAGCCAAAATGCATGATTGCTGTTTCTTTCCCCCACTTGCTTACTCTCCGGGTCTACGAGGCTCTGTGGAAGCTGGGTTTTGTGGCTCATGGCTTTCTGTGCAAGCTGGGTTTTGTGGCTCTCAAGCAGCAGGAAGGCTTTACCCAGTGGAAGCTGGGTTTTGTGGCTCTAGCTCTACCTTCCTTGCTGCTTGAGAAGAAAAGCTGCTGACAGAGTAAAGCCTGCAGTTCGGGACTGGCTGATTTTTGTTTTCAGCAGACCGTACGTTTCAGGGGTCGGAGCCAGACGCCCCTGGCTCTGCACCAGCCAGAGCTGGACAGAGGGCCCCTTAGCTCGGCCTCCACCTGCTGTTTGTGTGTTTTGTTGCTGAAGCAAAATTCCTGCACTTGGAAGGAGAATGGCAACGTTTCAGAGAAGTCAAGGTCTGGATGGGCTGATGTCCAGTTTTTTTCCTGAGGCTCAGAGTCCAGAGCCAAGGAGTAAAAGTTAAATTCCTTTGCATTTAAACCTCATGCTGAGGAACCAGTAAATCTAAAACGTAGATTTTAGACTGTAAATTGATGTACTCTGGGTCGCCCCATGCAGAAGGGGCCTCCATGTCTCTTCAACAACTGCTATTGCCCCCCCCCCCCAATTTTCTGGCCATGAATGAGCTTCTCCAAATTTTCTTTTAATTGAGAGATTAGCAGCCTGTAACTCAGATACGGCCTGCAACTCCACTTTTTGCAAGTTTCAACCCTATGATTGTGCATGGATGTGTTTACCAAACAATGCCCTGAACAGGTACTTTTAAACTTCAAGGATTAATGTATCTTATTTATCCCCACCCTTCCCCAAAACGGGCTGGAAATGTGGTCCCCTCCCTGTCCAGGAGCATCACTGGAATACTCTTGGCATTTCCTAGAGTTCCACTATTTTTATAAAGTGAGCCCCCGGGCTTCAAAAAGTTAGTTGTCCCCACTCCACCTTGACTGTTTAGTTACATCCCTAATCCTGGCTCTCTGGAGAGCCATGAGATCTAAATAAGAAATATCCAGTTTCATGCTCCGAATGCAACCTTTCAAAGGCTCCCCCAGCCAGGATGTTAAATGCAGTTTTCCATTGACCAGGCTTTCAAAAAAAAAAAAATGATATCCATATTGTCTTTTTACAGTGAAACGATTTAAGGAGCCGAAAGAAGAGAGGCGACCTTGGAGAATATGGTAAGATGTTTATTTTTTCCTCTTTTGAAAAAATGGCCAAAGTGTTTTGGCTAGAATGAGGATGATGTCATGGACTGCACTCTGCAATTTTAGGCACCATCTTCCTTTGGGGGAGTTATCCCTTCTAAAGTGAAATGCAGTCATTGTTTATTGGAAGTGTAAACCTTGATATACCTACAAACATTTTTCCCTTTTATTTTTTTTTCTGTTCTGTTTAATTAATAAATAAACCCCCCACCCCCACCCCAGGTCTTAAAACTTCTGTTGTCTCTTGAATCCGAACTCTTTCAAGGTTTTACGATACCTCGAAGCAAGCCATCGGCGCCCTCTTCATCCACTTTGCCAATATCTTCTTGTCGGACCTTACCGAAGAAGATCCTTGTTCTCTGTGAGTTTGGTTTTTGTGGATAAATCGTTCTGCCCTCTGGCCTGTCCTTTGGGGTAACGATGTTTGAATCCCAGCCCCGTCATGAACTAGGACCCTGCTACTTTTGAGCAATTCCTCCCTGAAAGCAAGAACTCAACGAGGGGTCGTATTCTAGCCAAAATCTGGTTCCCTGTAAGCCAGTGTTTCTCAACCTTGGCGACTTTAAGACATCTGGACTTAAAGTCTGGGGAATTCTGGGAGTTGAAGTCCGCACATCTTAAAGGTGCCAAGGTTGAGAAACACTGCTCTAACGACATCCCTACTGGTAATGTTAATGTTAATAAGATGAACCAGGAAATCAAGTATGCCAGGGGGGAGGATGTGACTAAGGAGAGGGTCCCTAATCCCACACCCAACAAACGTGGGGAATGACAGTTTGTGCTATCATGGCTGTTCTATGTTACATCCAAACCATAGCTGAGTCCCTAAATCCAAACTAGACCTCTGTCCTCCAACTTTGGTTCCATCTGGGAAAGTGAAAACTGGCATGCTTTCACTTTATAACAAGGTTTTTCTGGCTTCTAGTGAAGAAGAAGAAGATTCATGTATCTATGCTTGATCCCTTTCTAAATCTGGCTCCCCCAATCTCTGTTTAAAAATGAAACCCACTAGGTGGACATCCACCCACAATTGTAGGTTGATTGAGAGCCATCGTGAGTTTTCTCCAAGGTTTGCAACGTTTTGCTTGTTTCTCTCCTGGATCTGCCACAGCTATTTGATGAATTTCATCTTGGATGCCAGCTTGGGAATGCTCTTGATCTGGCTCGGAGTGAAGATGGTCTCGTGGATTGTGGAATGGTGCAAATGCACCTATCTTGTCTTTGGCGAGTATGGTAAGTCAAGACTGCTTCTCCAGTTGCAAATTTGCCCTTATGAGCCTCTGGAGCAGTGCTTCTCAACCTTGGCAACATTGAAAATGGGGGGATTCTACATCCAAAATTACCTAACCAAACAACTTCGGGGGGGGAGGTTGTGGGGTCG